TTTCTTCATCATGTAATTGGAAGAATATTTCTCTTTTAACGTTTCCAATTTGAATGTTTATATCTTTAAGTTTCTGGTTTTAATCCTAATGTAGACGATAATTGAATGTTCATATTTCTGATGAAAACAGAACAAAAAGTCAATCAATCAGTGAGAATGTAAATTCTGATGCTTTAAGCAACAGAACATTTGGGGTCTTTTGAAATTTGAAATATTTTGCATAAAGATAAGATTTTTGGATTTTTAAAATTGGGAAATGGTAATGTCAAATGACATCACAAGATGTGTATGATTGAGCAACTATAGTTTATAACGATTTGTGAAGGGATTGACAATGATTGGTGGGCCAATAGTGAGGGAAAAAGATGAATATATAAAATAGAAACCGATTGAGAGAACCAACCAAAACACCATCTCTCTTTTTTACTTTCTTCTCTTTTTCCACACATTGTCTCTTTCCTTTCTCATTTCAGATTCAAACCCTTTTTTATTGGGTTTATTTGGTGGGTTGTGAATTTTTGAGAATGGTGTCTCCGGAGAATACGAACTGGCTTAGTGATTATCCTTTGATTGATGGTTCTTTCTCTGATCAAAATCCTACTTTTCCATGGCAGATTGACCACCACATAGATGGTTCAGCTAGTGTCAGGTATTGAATCATGTGGGATTAGGTTAAAAGGGTTCTTCGCTATATCGAATTGAAGTTAATCTTTGCATAAATGAAGCTTTATTTGTCTCTGTTTTTGCATCGATTCCTCTGTTTTCTAAAGAAGTAGACCAATCTAGATCTCTGCTTTTTCTCTGTTATAGGTTGTGATGTCTTCTTCTATCTATGAATTGACTGTAATCTTTGTTATTGATCCTTTCTCTTATGTTGATGTGATCTTTGTTCACAGTGTTGAAGTTGATGCATTCCTTTGCGATTCGGATGTGATCAAAGAACCAGGCTCAAGGAAGAGGTATGAAACGGTTTGAAATATCTTGTACTATTAATTGTGGTTCTTGCTGTTAAGTATGTTCTTGTTGCTTTAGGGTCAAACCTGAATCGTCATGCGCTGGTTCTAGCTCGAAAGCGTGTAGGGAGAAACAAAGACGCGATAGGCTAAACGACAAGTA